GGTATGTCAGAATTTCTTACTATGAAATATGCTGTAATTAAATTGAAATGTTTCTGTTTATAAGAAAGTTTTCCTACTTTCTGGAAAGTTTTAGGTTCACAAATGAATAACTCAAGAAAATATTTTGAAACTTTCAAATTGTAATTGGAACTTGAACTAAATGACTTTGTGTACCCTACCACCCTTAAGATTTCATATCTCAAACCAGAATGGAAATTATTAATGGCATACCTAAGATGCCTTTAGCTTTTTAGAAGAATTGACAAACATTTTTATGCTTTGTAGCAAAGCAGAATTAAAAAACTGTGTCTTCCATAGAATTTATTAGACTCATCACATTGACAGCTATTTTTGTTTAATACRGCAATGTACATAAATACATAACAGTAGATTTAAACAGGTAACTTACCTGGAAGATTCTCACTCATGTTCTGGGGTTTATACAGCAGCACTATATTGGTAAATCTCTTCTGGTTCTTTAGAAATAACTTACATGACTTTATAATTTTTTTTTGGAGATGGAATAGGAATAAATCCTGCACAGACTGCTGGTGAGTATTTATTTGAAAATCATGAAGTAGGAGTGAATTATATGTCTATTGATGATGAGTATTTAATTCATTCTAATTACACATTTTTCCATAGGTTGTAGCTCTTGTTTAGGGAAAGTTTTTAACTAATACATAACAAAATGTATGAAGGTAAGATTGTATTCTCATGGAAATGATAATTTTGGCCTCTTAAGGTGGTTGTGAGGGAGCAGGTGTTTAATGTTTGCATTATGCATCCTTAGCATGTGGTAGGTCCTAGCTATTATTATTTTATTTTAAAGAACATAGTCATTTACATGTAACAGGGTTACACATAATTCAGAGTGACACGTTGATGTTCTAATCAACATGCAGAGTAAAAGTCCTTGTTAAAAGTAGTCTTAAGCTTTATTTAAAAAAAAAAAAAAAACATTATTTCTGAAATATGTTCTTTTAGGTTAACCATCTAATTTTAATGTTCTGAAATTACATATGATTTAATATAATATAACCTCATTCTTAAATAGTAGTTACTTTTAAATTACTATATTCTAAGGTATTTTTAAATTATAATAAAAAAAAATTTTCCTTAAAGACCACTAGTGAAATTTAGCCATGTAGAAAGTAAGGAATGATATAAAATTGTAAATTRTTAATTAAATCAACAGTTTTAAGTGTATGTATTTTTTTAATTGAAAAGGGCTTTTATTGAAAATTGTGAGGCATTTTATTATATACATGTATTCAAACTTAATAGATTAAGGTTTTGTCTTATTCTGGAAATTTTGTGTAGCATATGTTAATTTTAGCTATTACTTACTCTAATATTATGCTTATTATATTACATTTCAAAATTAATTTGTGTATCTCACTGGACATGAAGAAATCTCAGTGAAAATTGACCCAAAATAGATTCAGAGTATCTAGATTTTTGTAATTTATGTAACTTTTGTCTCGTGATAATTTAATTTTTTTTCTGTCTTTAGGTAGTCTATTGTGTATTAAGTCAAGTATTCATGATGAAATTAATTCTTGTTATTTGCAGATTGTTAGTATTTTCATGGCTAGTGTTCTTATTTAAAATTTTAAAGCAAACATTTGTTGATTGTAAAGCTATGGGAAGAATAGGAACAAAACTTAAAAAGCTTGGAATTGAGCCAAGKATGATGGTACACACTGGTAATTGCAGCTACTAGGGAGGCTGAGAGGCAGGAGGWTGGCAAGTTGCCTCAGCAGTTTAGCAAAATCCTGTCTCAAAATTTGAAAAAAAGTGAGCAGGAGTACTGGGGATATAGCACCTTGGTAGAATGCTTCTGGGTTCAATTCCCCAGTACCACCAAAACAAAAAAACAAAACATTGGAATTGGATTCTGATGTTACTTGATCTTTTGCACCCACTTTACTTTTTAATACACTGTTTGTTGTATGTAATAATCGTTGGGTTATTAAGATAACTTGTCAATTTGTCATTTTTAGAAACCTAACTTTATGTTTTATTTGTTTGTGTAGGAAATGTTTTTCTAAAGCACGGTTCAGAACTTCGAATTATTCCTAGAGATCGTGTTGGAACTTGTTAATATCTGCTACTTGGAACATACAGTTACTTTTCAGAATAAATATTGGTATTTTTTGTTGTTGTAAATTTGAAATCAGGCATTTAGCGTACTACGAAAACACGAGAAGTCAGTGAAACAATGAAAAGTGGACTCTTCTGGTCCCTTCTTTGTTCATGATCTTCATGTGCAGAGGGAATGCTTGTGAGTAGCGGGAACTGCCACCACAGAAGGTCTTAGAGTTGTTGATTGCTACCTCACAACACAAGTACGGAGTTCATTTGTGAAAATGGATTATCCAACTGTRTTTTTTACCTGGATGATTCTGATAATTCTTTCTGGAGAACTTTTGGAAARTTAAAATTTACTTAATCTTACATATTTGTATTTGAGTTAAAAATGTRAAAGGAAATGAGTCATAGATGGAAGTTTGCTAGATAGCATCTGACTTACAAACTCATAAATAGTTTGATTTTTAAGCSTATAGTTTGTGATGATGATGATAGACATATCAATGATGGTTAACTGTCTTGACTTTATCATTTAGTTTTATAAGTTTTAGACTTCATGTGTCATGTAAATTACATTTAATTCAGTACCAGAGGACCAAAAATCTTACTTTTGATCTAACCTTTATGTATATAAAGTCACATCCCACAACAAATAAGTCTTTTAACAGTCATCTTGGCAGAATCCAGTATATGTAATAGTGGCAATTGACAATGCAGTACAAACGTCCTTTATTGAATTATGCATTTCTGTATCAGTCTTGTGTAGTACAATGTTTGAGACAGAAATCTTCTAGAAACCATTGTCCTTTGGAGGATAATATTTCCAAATAACTTTGAAGAAGAGAGTGTTGTTGCAGAGAAAATATGAAGAATACAACAAAGTTTAAAGATATCAATTGAAAATTCCAATGAATTATACTTATTGAAGACCTGACTTTAAAAATGTGCTAATATTTTTCAACCAAATGGATAAGAAACCAAGTAAAGAGAGATGAGAAAGACTGGTTGATGAGGCTTTTGCAAGGAGGAAAGCAACAAGTACCCAGGGAAGAGGAAAGTAAAGTGTCACAGAAATAGCCAGCTGGTTGGACAAAGCTGCGGAGGGTATGTTGGAGAAAACTGAAAGTGAAAACAAAATATTTGACTTAATCTAAGTAGCAGAAGGCAGTTAGACAGAGGGCCTTGCCTGCATACAGATTTCAAAGTACCCTTTATGACAATTCAGAGAATATAATAAAAAATTATACTTGATCTTACAGAGGATATCAGTATCTAGGTACGTCTTGAAAGATAAAATGAAGGCTTTTAGTGATTCAGAATCATTTCTTGACGTGCTGTATTTTGAATGACAAACTCCCTAGAGGCAGGGCTTTTCATGTCAGATTCTTTCTAGAGCTGAAAGTGTAGTAGACATTTGGTAAATACTTGGTGAGTTATTCATGAATAAAGTCTAAGACCAGTTTTTATCTTACCATGTTTCAGTGTCTTCCCTGTTATAGTTCCTAGGTTTGATGGGGAAGAAATAAATACAAGAAAATACAACTGAATCATCTTAAGGGTKACATCGGTAGTTTAAAAAATTACCAAATAATATTCACAGATTTAATGAACAGCAGGATTCTGAATTATCAAAGTAAGAATTTTTTTTTTTTTGCCAAGTTAAAAAAATATACTCCTAATGTTTGGAATTTCATATATATTTTTATATATGAAAAAAAAAGAAAAAAAACAGTGATATGATGCTTAAAAGCCCTTATTTCTTATAATTGAGCATAAGTTAACCAGAAAGTTATGAATAACTATTCCCTGAATTGGGGGCTTAATTTAAAATTTCTTCCATTTTGCTTCTAATACAAAAACCTTTCTGTTGTTTGCTTAGATAAGTTTATTGTGTTCTGTGCCATAAAGTGATTTATTTAATACTTTTGTTCTTCAGTTTTGAAAATTAGATTGCAGTTCTCAAAAACCTTTCATTGAGTGAGATATTTTGTTACTAAACAATTATGATCTGTAAGCTCTTTGTGCAAAATATTTTGAAGTATTGTATTTTAGTTTAATTAACAGTCCATAATTAATATCTTATGAAAATACTTTTGTTATACTCTAAACCATATTGCCTATCCTTATTTTATTATTAGAATTCTTAATCAGCACACCGGTTGTGCCAGTTTATTAAAAATGTAATTATAAAAAGCAGAGATAATTAAATACCATAAATCATGGATAAGAATGTATATTTCCAAGTGTCAGTTTTTATTTTACAAAATAAAAAATTAAAACTCTGAAGAAGGGGTGATAGTAATTAACTGTACTGGTAGGTCCTAAACCTGGGTGATCATCAGTCATGTAGGGAATTAAAAATACAGATTTCTGGAAACCACCCATTAAATTCAAGTTATTAAATCTGGAATAGTGTAAAAGAACCTCTTATAAAAAGTTCTGGTGATTTCTGCAGTGCAGGTGATTTTAGAATTAATAAAATCAACCTTTTTACTATCTACCATACATTTTTACCCAAGGACTTGAAATAAATTGGAAGAACTAATATACTGTAATGTAGTGACTCTAAATTAACTGATATTAATGTTCTCAGGGCCATTTGTAAAACCACAGGAAACATGATTTATCTATGGATTATATTATTTGAAGGATAATTTTATTTATGTTGTCTCATTCTTCAAACTGCTAAATTATTGCCCTCACTTTATAGAAGAAGAAAGAGGCTTAGTTAGGTTGAGATTTGAAATTTGAACCCTTGTTTTGACTTTGACATACTGGAAGAAATTTATAGTATTCATTTCTTGTAATATACTAGAGCTGTGTTGAATTAGGAGTTACAAAAATTACAAATGTAAGTCTTAAAATTATATGTCAGTACTAAATACACATGTAATAATAAGGAACTATATTAATTTTTAACATAGTATGATGGTATAAATATAAAGTTCTAGGGCATTAAATATGAACTAAATAAATAAAAATGATAATACTGATAGTACTCCGTAGGTGGCCTCGTAGAAGTAGGAACTGTCTCTCTCTTTTCCTCAGCCACATCAGACCATTTGTTTTTTTAATCTTAAGTATCACAGATTTAGCTGTGAGACTGCTTCCCTAATAACCTACTCTTCCCACCAGGTTGTTGTTCATAAGCCCCTCTAGAATACAGAAATTCTGGAATTGTCCTCTGTTGGTTAATGCTAGAGATGGATGAAACATTATTTAAACTGGGACATTTAATTAGACTATTATTGAGATAAATATTCTTAAAAGGCTCGCTGTTAACATTCACATCCTGAAAACTGTCTATATACCAGATATGTTTTACTAATCATGATTCCTTTCTCACTATATAAAAGCAAACAATTACCTTAATTCTAAGCCACACCCATTGTTCAGTTAAAGCCCTTTTTATATTATTAAAAAAGCCACTGTTATTCCCATTTCTTCTTTCACAGTTGCCATAATGAGCTTTTTGACCTGATTGTGTACTTCCCACTAAAAAGTTCTGCTAAATAAAAACGCATACTTTCTATGACACATGAGGCCTTTTGGAGTTGTTACTACTGCTTTCCTGGTTTCCTTCTCTATGCTCCAGCTACATTCAACTGCAGATGATACTTAGAATCATCTTAGTGTAAACAATGATACACAGTATCATTGTTGTGCCTGTTCTTAGCATGCAGTGCCTTTACTTTCCCATATGTGTACCTGGAAAATACAGAACTCATTTTTCAAGTCCAAAGCCATTGAGCCTGTCTTCGCCTCTTCTAAGCAGAGTTAGGAATTTAACTATGTAAGCAACCAGTGTATTTTGTACATTTCTTTATTATAGCTCTTATTAAATATAGAATTATTTGTAAACTATAAATTTTATATAAGTCTAAGATCATGACTGAAACTGGGTTTCAGAATTGCCTTGCTCATAACAATACTTTGAAAGACTACATAAAAGAAAGAAAAATATATTAGAAATTGAAATTATTTGTATTTTGTCCATAGTAACTTCTTTAGACAAGATATTTAATCAACTAGTATATTCATATTTCTATTGAGGTGGAAATTTACTCTCACTCTCAGAAATGAACTAATGAGTTAAAAAAGTACAAAGTATTCTATCATTTTAAAAATATATTAGCTATAAAATATGCTGGATATTAACTACTGAAGGCAAAATATAACTAAGACATATTTCCTTTTCTTGGACTTCTTGGGATTTATCCATTTCAAAAGCAAAAAAAAAAAAAAACTATCTGGTAAAGGAGTCAGAGACATGAAGATATATATCAGATGCTTCTTTATGTACTAAGTACAGGTCACCCCAGGCGTTTCACATGCATTCTCTCATTTGATTGATCAAATGCTCGTGTTTATTTCTTTACTGTTAAGGGAGCTGAGACAATTGTTAATGTATTCAAGACTTGACTATAAGGTTTATATGATGATAACCACACACAATCATATTTTACATCATTTTTCATAGAATTATATTTAAATGTTTCAAAATGAGCACATCTGGAAGGAGCTTCATAGATTGCTATTGAACATTACTATGATTTCACTGTGCTTGGAAATTTTAATAGTAACTACATAAACATTGGCACTTACAGATTCCCTCTTAGTAAGCATATTCATTTATATACCACAGTTGTGAATATTTGAAAAGTAGGTTTATGACCTATTCTCTGCTTTCCTATATAAAAAGTGCTTTAATTTTGTCACTGGATGCAAAACACTGGCCAAGGTTGGCAGCAAATGTAGAGAGCCAGTGTTTTGGCATAGATATCTGATTTTCTGGCAAAACTCTTTTAGCAATGTAAAAGCTGTTATTGAGAGCATATTGTGATGATACATCATGTCAATATTTGTTTGGCTGAGTAACACTTGGATTTAATAAATTCTTAAAATGCACAGTTTACAACTGATGAGCTGTTTTAGAAATCAACTGTATGTATTGTTTGTTTTCAGTGCCACAAACATTTTGACAAGTCTTAAATGGAGTTGCTATCTTCTCTGAATTTTTAAGATAAATGTATGGACAGATTAGGACTTTTGTAGTTATTCTCAGATGCCCACATTATGTAGGAATGAAACATAAGAAACAGTGAATGAATACATGGGCAAGCTACAGAGATAAATTACCAAAAGAGGATCACCATGTGTTTGTAGGAAGCTACATCCTTGAGCCTGGAAAGACTATTTCTCACAACAGTGGGAAATGAAGGCCTTGGACAGTGTGGGCATTGTGATCTCTGGTGACTTGTAGTCCCACATGCTTAGTAAATTTAATCTTGAATTTCTCTAATCCTACCATTTGAATTGGAGTAGGGAGCAAATGAAGTAAGAGATTTCCCTCTTTAAGAGATTTCTGAGGGCTTAATTGCAGATGCTTTGCAATATGGAAATAGTAATATTCCAAATATCTTGACTTAATTTTTAAATTATACTAACAAGTTATTACCTATGAAAAGATAATCTCTGTATTTCACAGAACCTTTTGTTTGGGGAGAGATCCTCTATAATGTAATCCGCCTCCCTGTGATTCCGTAGAAAGATATATTTTTGAAATCTTTATTTAAAAATATTTTACAGGAACTTTAATGAAGCAAGCCAGATTCCAAAGATGCCATCATCTTGCTGTAAACAAATAAATAAATATAAAATTCCAATCTATTATCCCTTACCTTTTGCTTCCTGCTTTTCATCTTCATCCTTACTTGCATGAAAAAGACATCTGTCTTGTTCTGGAAAGTTGTTAGATTTTCATAAAATGCACTTTCTTTCCTCCATTTTGAAGCATTTTTTAAAATTAACTAAGTCAGTATTTGGCATTGTAACCTTATCCTCAATCTGTCTAGACAGACTTTGCATTTCTTTGCTTTTTGAGTGTGAGATTTTTTTTTAAACACTAACTGTAATGCCTGTTCTGGTTTCAAACAGATCTATACATCATCTCATAGTCTACTTGGCTATACTACTATGTAGTAAATTTAAGTTAACCTTTGCAATCACAGGATGTGAAGAGCATCACAGAATAGAAAAGGTTTTCCCCATATTATCATATGCAACTGGACTTTAGTTTTTTAGTAGATACTTCTAGATGTATTCATAATTGAGGATCAATAAGAATTTTGTGTCAATGAAATATATAGTTCAGTCTTCTCTGGGTAATTAACATCATCTCTATTTTCATGTGTTTCATGTCTTGGAATAAGATTAGTTAATAATTAACTTGCAAGGGTCATATAATTAGTGCCAATTGAATATGACAGATAATGTCACAGTGATTCAAAGAATTATTGAAAGCTGTGCTGTTATAGAAGATTTAGCAGCAATGAGGATAATTTGAGCAGGAGCTTAATGAGAAGATATATACGAAAGCACTCGTGAATTAGTCAACAAGCATACTTTGAGCACTTAGATCCTAGACATTTTCTGAGCATCAGTGATAGAATAATGGAACAAAATGTCCCTGCTCTCATGGAGCTTGCAGGACAGTAGAAAAGAAATAGTGAATAAATAAACATAATGGCAAAGGCTATGATTAAAGAAAAAAAAGTCAATGTAGCATTTTAGTTAAGGTGATGAGGAATAGATGCAATTTTAGGTAAGATGAAAAGGAGTGCCTCATGTGAATGTGGGAGAATAATGTTCCAGAGAGTAGGAAAAGAAAATGCAAGCTGCCTTGTGGAAAAAACTGCATTTGGTAGGTACTTAAACGGTATAAGTGGATCCTTCCTCTTGGCTCCTATAGTACCATCTTGCAGGGCTCAGAAGGTATCAATTTGAGAATGTGAAAGGAGCCAGTGAAACTGGAATGCATTTGGAGAGGTAAACTGAGTAAGAGATAAGATCACAGAGAAAGCACAGCACCAGAACTGTAGGAACAAAGCTGGGTTTCAGAACTCCAAATAAAGAGGTTTTTCAGCAAGAGATAATGATGAATTTGACTTGAGTAGTGGGAAGGACAGTTGGCTCTGTAAAAACAGGTTCTCTGTCCTCAGATTCAACCAATCATACATCTAAAATATTTGGGAAAAAAAATTATTTTAATATGTACACTTTTTTCAGTGCTACTTCCTAAGCAATACAATTCTACAACTATTTTTATTAAGAATTGCAAGTTTTGTAGAGATGATTTAAAGTATGAAGGAGAATATGCATAAGTAATATGCAAATATTAATCATTTTAAATAAGGGGCTTGAGCATCTAAGGATTTGGTCATTCATCAAATTCCTAGAACCAGTCCCCCATGAATAACATGAGCCCACTCATTGATTCCTGTTATATCTTCGGTTGTAGACCTGAATGAATTTACCATTGAATATTGGATATGAGCGAAAAAGAAGAGTAAATTTGTATTTACCATTAGGGGCTGAATGACTAACTGGATGAATGGTTTTGCCATTGGTGCGATGAACAGGTTTGGGAAAAGAACATCTTGGAAGGAGTGGCAGGGCTAATGTCAGGAGTTTGTCTTAGATACCAAAGAAGGTTATATACTCTTAGTTACAAGCTATCTATTCTTGGCCTTAATACCCTCAGCAACTGACAGTATATAGGTTTAACTAGACTTTTAACTTTGAACTTTAACTGTTCTTTTTAAATGTTCAGAACCATAATCAATGTTTTCACCTTACTTTAAAAATTCCACTAAAGTTACCTAGTTGGAACACCTAAAATGGCTCACAGTATAAAAACTTGCCTTACTACTACAGATTGTCTTAAACCTTTGTAACCTGTGCACCTGTATTCCTGACAGACTCTTTGACTCAACACTCTCAGATTTGGCCGAGGTCTAGAAGAAGCCTTAAAAAATTGGCTGCTCTTTGGAGACTGGCAACTGAGTTTTCAGACATCACTTAGGAGCAGTAACTGTCATTTTCCCTCTTCCTTTTGCAACCAATAAAGGCTGTTCATTTCCCCCCACCTAAAATTACTAAATGATCAAATCATGTTTTATTTATTTTTTGACATGGAGGAATACACCTGCTATTTTGAACCTTAAATGTAAAGTCTTATAAAATCACTATTAGTGTTTCTTTCTGCAAATGTTAGCACACAGAAACAATTGATATTCATGCAGCTTTTACTATGTATCAGGCACTGTGTTATGTTTTACCTTTTTATTTAATTAATATAGTCTACAGCTTGATAATATTGTCATCATCACACTGTAGTTAACTGGAACTTTGGAAGGAACTTTGTAATTTTTCCAAGGTTACACAGCTAAAATAGACAAGCAAAGGTATAACTCAAATCTTGCCTGCAGACTTCAGAGACACCCCCTCTCTGTCACTACAATGCATAGCCTCTTTGGTAAGTTAACCTAGTTCAAATCCCAGAAAGATACTGCTACCCATGACATCAACATCTGCCTATCTCTCTTACTTTCTTACTCTTCTTGACCTACCCTCTAATCCTTTCATAAATCTTAAAGCCACTGAGAAAGGAAGGCGACATGGTGCATCCATATTTTCTCATGGTGGCTCATATCTATCTATTTGGAGTTCTGTCATTACTTTATTCAGCATTTATT